ACTAGAAAACAATGAAAGAAAGAAGCAGCAGAAAACAATATGCAGATCAATGCCGCCTTCTCTTTTAATAAGGTGGTGTCAGCAATAGGAAAAAAGTACAGAAAAAGTAATGCTGACAGTGTTTACGTGTCTGAATGAATAGTTCCCAAATTTGTGATAGAAGTCAAACATGAGATGTAACTCTCAAAAGCAATCTAGTAGCGTGAAAATCCTGCAGTTGAAAAGGAGATGTAGACAGAAGAATATGCTGTTCTCTCCAGAGAACTGTTATGACCCATGAAAAATGAGAGGCAGATGGACTGGTGACATGTGAACTAGGAACTTAATCCTGGGCAAACTGAAGTCAAAGACAGTATTTCCTGAGCACGTTCTAGGGTATTATTTCTCCAGTATGAATTGAAAATAGGAACAGTTATCTGTCTAACAGAGATACAGAGACCTATGTGACGTCCTGTTTGTCAGAGTACAAATAGTAAATGTCTTTTGGTTCTTTTGTACCAACAGCCTAAAATTAAATGCCCTGCATTTAAGTTGGATTGTATGAAAGGTTCAGTTAGAAATCTAAATCAAATGAAAACTAGATCCATCAAAAAAACCTACAGAAGATGGTCCAGGCCACAGATCATCTACAATTTTTTGTATGGTCACAGACTTGATCTTCTGTCATGCTCCCAATTGGAAGCCAGTGACTTCAGTTTAATGGTTGTTAAGAATAATTCCATTCATGTTCTTTGGACATTTGGCCTGACAGGATGCTAGGTGCTTTTCTGATCAGGCTTGTGGTTATTTCCCTTCAAAATCACACCTCATTTAGCTGATGTGGATGAATATCCTGGCTGCATTTGACCACTATAACCTTAGGACATGGTGGCTGACAAAACATCAAATTTCTTCAATAATGGTGCATAATATAAGGACAAGAGATAAACATCTGAAGAGAGCCAAATTATAACAGCTAAAATATCTCTTCTTTGGGTGACAAATATTGTACAGAACTAAGGTGCATCCTACCAGACTTCTGCAATAAATCTCACCATTGCAAAGGTTTGATTTCTCTATTGTGATTGGTTTGATTTCTCTATGTGAGTGGTTCATGAAAATGTTCTTTCCTCATTTTATCAGGAATTAAAGATGCCTGACTGCACGCAAAAGCATTGGCAATGTTTCCTTTACAGAACACCATGTATTTTTTTTATAGCTGTTGTAGTTTTAGAAAGCTGTCCTGCATAGTTCTCTGACAGCAGGGATGAAATCCCAGGAGATGCAGCTGAACACAACAGTCTTTACTGCATAGTGACAGAAATCCTCTCTAAGATACATTATGAGGACATGGCTGGGTGACCTAAACAAATCCATAAGCATAACTCACACCCTAACATGAAGTGAATTGTTAAAGTCCCAGTAGATTAATTTATAGCTTTCAGGGTGAACTTTCAAACTAACAAATGCTGAATATGAAACTGCTAGATAGGAAAAGCCAATTTGGTCAAGAATCTGGTCCAATTTAAATTTGTCTCAACCTCGGTGTTGTGTGGGGTTTTTTCCACAATATTCTTCCTTCTCCATTAAAATGGAGCTGCTCTCTTAAATTTGGAATTGTCTGATTTTCTGACCTTAGTTAGAAATGCATTGCACATTTTCTATTCTCTGAGTGTAACTGTTCTGCTCGAATAAACTGAGTACACTCACTCCTGCAATTGTGTCCCCCCCCCCTGCCACCCCCCCCACGGTTTTCTAGCTCTTTTGTTGTGATTCATTTATCTTGTTCCAATTTATAAAGTGCTTTCATAATATTGAATGCCTGCACTAGGTCAACATATAATCTGCTCTTCTTCAATAGAAGCAGAGGCTTAACTCCTCCCAGCCTTATCTCAGAATAAATATTTTTTACAATGTAGACAAATTTTACATGTCCTAATATGCATATTTCCCAACAGAGATCCCAGATTTAGGAGACTGACTGACACACATGACAGACATTCCACTCACTCCAGAATCATCCACTGACTTCAGTATCTTTTTGCATCATATCTTCCTCAGCGTATGAGAAAACAACCATCAATATTCATTTGTTGAAACCCCATATGGAGAGAGGCCAGCAGCTTGTGGTGTTGGTTCATAAGTGTCACAGACAAAAGGGGCAGTTTCAGTAATCCACATACACCAGCTTTCTCATTTTCCTTATTTAACATGACATTCCTGTTTGTTATTACACCCTAGCTCAGGTATGGCTGTCCCATCACTTTAAGACTCAAAAGCTGCTCAAGTGTAGCTCCTCTGCCAGGTGGCTCCCACAGGAGCTATTCAGGCACAGGGATTTGGGAGCCTGAGGGGCCGGAATTGGGAAGCACCTGGGTAGTTGCGGCTGCTACTTCTGCTACTGAACGAGGAAGGACACAGCTGACAGCTCCCTATGACCCTTGAGGAGTTGGAGTGATGTGCTGTTGTCCCCCCTCACCCTATACTCTGGTTTCCTACATCACTCACACCCTTTTCCCGGATGCAGATTTTTGGCTGCAAGGGTGCCCACGAGAGCCCTAACCTGTATGAGAAACTATCACTTTTCCATTTAACTTGCTGTATGGTTTGTATTAAGGATGAACAGAAACAGAGACAATTCTTACACACAGAAACGGGAATACAGAGAGATGAAAACTGGAGAATTAGAGAAAATGTGCATTCTTGGTGATCTGTTTTGCAGTTAACAGTAACTGTTTACAGGTGTCCACATCACAAACACCAGGATAGCAATTAAACACTAACTCATCAACAGCCTTATCAGAGAAACCAAAAATGGTCCTGGCAGGCAGTCCAGGCTGCCCTCTCATCTGTAGAGATGGTCCAGCAGCAATGGGATTGATACAGATTGGCAGGCCCATACAGAAACCTATGCTGTTACTGTTTACGCTCTCTGGACCGAGAACGTCAATTAAGGGTTTACCTGTACCTTTCACAAGATCTTCGTTCACTTGCATTGTAGATACATGAGCTAAAGAAAAAACCATAGAGAACCATTCACCTTTTCTTCTCTTTTCATGTATTTAGACGCATATTTCACCTCTACACACCACGGGGGCTGAGCTATTATTGCTTCTAGAGAAATATTTGTTTTGTCGCTGACCAGAAGGATGTAGAAGTCCTCAGCAGAGCAGCTGGGCATGATTCTGACAAATTGTTCCATCTTTTTCCTGAATGATACATTGTAACTGTTGAGGAGCACTTATATTTTAATCCGTAAAGAAAATGAAATGTCTGACCTTTCCATTTCCTGTGCAAGCTTACAGACAATAGAAAAGATAATTAAAACTGTGAATTAGAACTTGCAAAACAGTGCCGTTTCTCTAGCAAAGAGAAATAGCTGTGTAATAAAGGTCACTTATCAAACAGTTCTAGTTATTAAATCTTTGCATTTAGCACTGAAGTGGCTTCACAGAATCAAAGGTCAAATCATTAAATAACAAAAACAGACAGAACTAGAAAAGGTCACAAGCAAATCTAACCAGAAGTAGGTCACAAAACATGATTCTCTTCCACAGAGTATTTCGATATTTGGAAAATTGGCTACTTTCCAATTTGAAACAATTCCCCCATCATTTCAAATGTCTCCACCAAGAGACTGACATTCCAGCTACAGGACCGTTTGTATGGGTGGGTTTCCCAATGGCACAGATCCTGGATCACCAAGTTTCCCAGACACGGACCTGTAGGTCTGCCGAAGTCCCAAGCGGGGATGATCTCAGGCCAGATCTCAGCCTCTTGGCCAAAACTTCAGCACAAGTCAGTGGAGTCCAACAAAACAATGTCTTGACAGACCAGTCATGTGCCAAGCTCCCGTCTTAGCAGAGACTGCCAGATTCACTCTTCAGTTGGACCAAATCTAGCTCAGGACTTACGCGGATGTAATTTACACTAATGAAAAGCTGAATTTCTCTTGTGACTTCTTAGCACTATAGGCTGGTGGTGCGCTGGAGACCTCACTCCAGCCACCAATTCTGCTTCACTCTGTGAATCCCACAACTAATCATACAGATAGTTAGGAAATTCAGATTAAACTTTCCCAATTGTTACTTTAACAATATGATTGTAATTTTGTAAATTGGACGCAATGCCCATTCACTACATAATGAGGCAATTATTAGCAGCTCGCCACATATTAATTTGCTCCTTTAATGTTGAAACAAATGAGATCTTTTCTTATAATCATCCTATTTGAGTGAATTCTAACAAAGTCAATTGAACAAAGCTCCAGAGAGACTTTCTTTATTTCAATGCCATTTATTCTTCTACTCTTCTTGGATGTCTTTAGAGTTTTAGAGGATACAACATTTATAATGATGCCAATAGGGAATAGATTTTGCCTTTATTCTTCTTGATGTTCTTTTGAGGTCTTTGAAATGAAAGGTACAAGAGAGGCATTAACCGTCTGGCATTGTTTTTATTGCTTTTCTCTACTTTACAAGCAAAAAAGGTATTTTAATTTTTCCTGTTTCTGTGATGATTAACCAAGCTGGTTTTACCTACACTTACTCACTTTCTTCAGACCTCTGACTGGGAGGAAAGGCTTGCCAGGCTTCTCTAAGACAAAATTCAGCACATTTAAAGAAAAAGAAAGATAGTACTTGTGTGTTCACCCAGCAAGAGCTATCAATTTAATACAGCACTCAGAAGCACTGTATATAA